ATAGAATTCCTAACACTGATGTGTCTGAATTCAACTCAAACCTTAGAAATCTAATACTAGATAACAGACTGAACAAAAACCATCTAATTATCGCAGGGGACTTTAATATTGACCTCTGCGAGCCTGAACACCCTACTGCTGTTAGCTTCCTCAACTGTATGCATTCCTGCTTCCTCATACCCTTAATCACTAGACCTACTAGAATCACTGATAGCACTGCTACGACTCTAGATCACATCTGGACCAACATAACCTCTCCGCTTACTTCAGGTATAATCACTGATAGCACTACAGACCATTACCCCACATTTCTCTTAACTAACATTAGCAAACCACCTCTAGAGACAAGGGAGTTAAGCTTTAGGCTGCACAATGAAACTGCTATAAACAATTTTATAACTGCTGCTGATAATGTCAACTGGGAGTCCGAGTTAGGTAACATAGGGGACATCAACCTAGCAGTGAAATCTTTTCTACAAACAACTCTTAGCCTTTATAACGCCCACTGTCCTATGCTTACAAAACAAGTCACAAGCAAAAGGCTTAACAATCCTTGGCTTACAAAGGGAATACTTAAATCCATTAACAAAAAACACGACCTTGAGAAGAAGTATAGGCTAGGAACAGTCTCCAAAGAATTCTCAAAGAATTACTCGTTATTGCTATCTAAAATAATTAGACAAGCCAAAACTAAATACTATGAAGATAAATTTACCCAAATAAAGAGCAACATTAAAAAAAACTTGGAGCACAATTTCACAAATATTGGGATCAATGAAGATTTTAAATAACAAACCAACACTCCTTTCCAATAACGTTGGTCAGCTTTCAGCCTCTGATTCTGCTATTGAGTTCAATAGGTTCTTCTCTTCCATTGGGTCATCCCTTGCAAATGACATTCCATCTTCCTGTACTGATGTTAAGGACTATCTTACAGGTAACTATCCACAGTCTCTGTACCTAAAGCCTACTAGTTCCACTGATGTCAATGAGATAATCCTTTCCCTTAAAACCAAGTCTAGTGCCCTCGAGGAGATACCAACTTTAATTTACAAAAAAAGCCTCCAGATCTTTAGCCCCTGCTATTGCATTGCTCTTCAACAAGTCACTTGAACTCCAAACCTTTCCAGACATTCTAAAAAAAGCAAGAGTAACCCCTGTCCACAAATGTGGTGATCTCACAGATGTTAACAACTACAGACCTATATCAATCCTGCCAAACTTGTCAAAAATATTCGAAAAACTAATCTACAAGCAGCTTTACTCTTTTCTAGCCAAACACAATATACTTAGCTCTTGTCAATATGGCTTCAGACTCAAAAAAAAGCACTAACGATGCACTTATTAGTATGATTAACTTAATTCACGCAGCTCTTGATAAAAAGGAGTTTCCTGTTGGGTTATTTGTGGACCTGCGTAAGGCTTTTGACACTGTCAACCACCAAAACCTTCTTCTTAAATTACATCATTATGGAGTCAGAGGACACTCCCTGCAATACCTCAAATCTTATCTTACTGACAGGCTCCAGTATGTTTCTGTGAATAATACAATTTCTCCCACCCTACCCATCAACATTGGTGTTCCTCAGGGCAGCATACTTGGCCCTCTCCTCTTTCTCATCTACATTAATGACCTTCCAAATGCCTCCCAACACCTCAAACCAATTCTATTTGCTGACGACACAGTTTAGTTTAGTTCATTTATTATGCACCCCATACCCATCTTGTGGGCGGTAGTGGAAAGGGTTACAGAGGCACATAATGGGCTCAGGGACTGAACCCCACAATTCATTTAGCTAAGCAAGTTACAATCTTAATGAGCTAGTTACAAAATTCAATATAAGTCATCACATCAACAATGGGTTCGAGATCGACCTCAAGTACAGGTTCTAAATTAAGCAACTGACATATGTGGAGAGCTAGTGTCAAAATTTATATGTTTGTCCTGCACACTGCCCCCCATCCAGTGGGCAGCGGTGGATAGGTTACAATCACTTAGTTGTTATCTACAGTTAGCAAACTGGGGATATTTGGCTAAAATATCTGGTAGCAGATCATTTTGAATGAAATATTGACACATCGCTGGAACATTGGTTATAGAATTGTCTCTAAATTCACGTATCTTTTCGCACTCCATCACATAGTGACGGAGGGTGTGCGAATAATTTCGTTGACACAGTTTACATTTGGTCAGGTCTACATCAGCAGATAATGAGAATTCCCAGAGATACTTGTAACCGAGTCTAAGCCGAGCAGTAGTAACATCTAGAAGTCTGCTGATTTTATTGGATGATCCATAGATGTGTGGCAATCCACGTGACAATCCACAACCTTCATTTACTCCAGTCCTGACCCCCTTGCTCTAAATGCCACAGTAAATACTGAGCTAGAGAAAGCCCATCTTTGGCTAACTGCCAACAAACTCACCCTTAACATTGACAAAACGTTTTATATTCAGTTTGGCAATAAATCCTCTAATCAGATAAATCTCAAAATAAACAATACCCAAATTTGTAACAAATTAGATGGCAAATTCCTTGGCGTTCTCATCGACCACAAGCTGAATTTCCAGGGACACATTCTAAATATATCAAAAAAAGTTTAAAAAACTGTTGGCATTCTTTCTAAGATCAGATATTATGTACCCCGCCCTGCCCTGGTTACTCTCTATTACTCCCTCATCTATCCATACCTCAACTATGGTATTTGTGCTTGGGGTTCTACTACCCAAAATCATTTACGTCCTCTAATTACCCAACACAAAGCTGCTATTAGGACAATATCCAACTCTGGCCCCAGACATCACTCGGTACCCTTACTCAAATCTCTGAATATGTTAGATATTAAGTCACTGCACATTCTCTCTTGTGTATTATACATATATAAAACGCTGAACTGTATAATGCCAATCCTGACCTCAAAAGCTTCATTGAAGGTTGTAAAAGAACCCATGAGCACCACACCAGAAATAAATACAGTTTTGATAATCCTAGAGTACGACTTAATCAAACTAGAAATCCTCTACAAATCAAGGGACCCAGAATTTGGAATGACCTTCCCAACCATGTTAAAGACTGTACCTCTCTCAACCAGTTTAAGATAAAAACTAAACACTACCTAATAAATTCCCTGTAACCTACCTCACTCCTCTATTGTCAACCCGTCTGTTATTTTTTTTTAATCAACACTGTTTGTCAACCTATTGTATTTGTGCTGCTTTTTCAGTCATGTTCCCCCTTTTTTTATCTTTATTTGTATTTGTTCTCAACACTTTTTATTCTTTATGCTCAATTAGTATTAAGTTCTAGATATTAATGTTTTTCTTGCCCGAAACGCATTGCGTAATAGTGGCTTTAGGCATTGTATGTACTAGCTCTATCTATATATCAATCCATTAATGTAACATCACTTGTATGTATGTACCTTACCTGAATAAACATATTTATTTATTTGATTTATTTATTTTATAACCAGTCTGTCAATCGGGTCAACCCAAGTGTTGCGTTTCCATGCGTTTCCAAAAGGGTCGCCCATGTTGGAATCGGTGATATTACCCTAGTAATATTGTTGAAAACATCTTAATAACTTATTAATCCAAAGGTCTTTTTATGTCAGAAGAACGGCAGAGACTGGATCTATATATGAAAACTCTTTCAGGACAAATTTAAAGTAAAACTAAAGATATTTGTAGTTGTATAAAAGTTGCATTTTTCATCGGTCGTAGAGCTGGAAATCCGCAATATTCATCTCAGAACAATGCTTATTTCAGGCAGAATCGTTAATAAACGTAAGATTTTTATACGTCTCAAGAAAGATAGAAACATAACCTTCATTTTAAATGCCTTACCATGGGCATATTTGTATTTAAAGCGAAGATACGTGTATTTTTCTAATCGGCGAGCTCCGATCCCGCACAGATCGAGCATCGGAGTAACTCTCTCAGAACAATGCTTATTTCACGTAAATTCGTTAATAAAGACAAATGTTTTATATGTCTTATGAAAGATAGAAATATAAGCTTTATTTTAACTACTTTACCATAGAAATATATAAAGTTCTAATGAAGATACATGTGTTTTAATAATCGCCGAGTTCCGACCCCGCACAAACTGATCGATAGAGCAACTCTCTCTCAGAACAATGCTTATTTCACGTAAATTCGTTAATAAACACATATGTTTTATATGTCTCAAGAAAGATAGAAATATAAGCTTCATCTTAAATACTTTACCATAGACATATATAAAGCTCAAGTGAAGATACATACGTATTTATAGTGTCATTCAGTAGCTTGTCGGTCATGGTGTTCCAAACCTTAATGGAATCTGACCCATATATCAATCAGGTCAACCCATGTGTTGCGTTTCCAAAAGGGTCGCCCATGTTGGAATCGGTGAACGCCCTAGTAATATTGTTGAAAACATCTTAATAACTTATTAAACCAAAGGTCTTTTTATGTCAGAAGAACGGCAGAAACTGGATCTATATATGAAAACTCTTTCAGGACAAAATTTAAAGTAAAATTAAAGATATTTGTAGTTGTATAAAAGTTGCATTTTTCATCGGTCGTAGAGCCGGAAATCCGCAATATTCATCTCAGAACAATGCTTATTTCACGCAGAATCGTTAATAAACGTAAGATTTTTATACGTCTCAAGAAAGATAGAAACATAATCTTACTTTAATTTACTTTTACATAATCTAGTTTTACTTTAAATTTTGTTCTGAAAGAGTTTTCATATATAGATCCAGTTTCTGCCGTTCTTTTGACATAAAAAGACCTTTGGTTTAATAAGTTATTAAGATGTTTTCAACAATATTACTAGGGCGTTCACCGATTCCAACATGGGCGACCCTTTTGGAAACGCAACACTTGGGTTGACCCGATTGACCGACTGGTTATATTCCAACAGGGTCTGAGACACACAACACACCGCCCTACGGTGCGGCAAGTCTCCCTACAACACACACCTCTGTGTTAATCACCGCTCCTCTATCTACAGCTCAACCCAACAAGCACCTTGGTAGCTGGGATCATCCTCAACATAAAGGCGTCCACCAACATCAGTACTGGTGCAGTCATCGAGAGGACAAACCCTTCATGCACACTGCACCTACTATCAACAACAAGACCTCCCTACACGACTTCCAGCAACAACTACTTCACGACTCCCTGAGAAATAGTTCTGCTGATATACCAGATGAACAACAAGGTGAGAACTGTTGTAATGTAGCCCACACGCCCTAATTAATTCAAAGATTAAAGTCAACGTTGATATCAAATCGGCTGTCAGAATAGATAAAAGCAGTTCCTGTAGCACTAAGGTAAATGGCCTTAGTGGTTCATTGCTGTCTTCTTTTATGTGCTAGCCATATGCTGTATTGTGCCTACCAATTTTTGTCAACTACCATTCAAGCTGTCATTGCAATCAATCTTAGCTACCAATGTGCTTTAATATACTGTACCTACAATTTTCTCTCATCTTTGTTTTTTTCTTGCCATGTAACTGTTATAATTTTTTTTATAAATTTTGCAAGTATTTACCTACTTAAAATTTTCTTAGATTAAGGACCTGCCCGAAACACTACACGTACTAGTGGCTTTACAAGATTGTAATTACCATATTATGTATCCTCACATTCCAAATGTACCTTCTTGTATATGCATAAATAAATAAATAAAAATGCTCATCGAACTTTCAAATCCGGCTGTTAAGTATGACCCCATGCAAACAGCTGCTAAGCAAAAAACCAACCTTTATGTAAACGAGTGCCTTACCACGCAGTGTGGATCACTCTTCTAAAGGCTGCATTAAAATTTGCAAACAAAACCCAGGTGTTATCAAGCAGTGCTACACTAGGAATAGAACGATCATTGTAAAGAAGGAAAGAACAGGAAAAAGATATGAAATGAAGTGTGACCAACAACTACTGGCCTTCTTTAATGACTGTGGCATATCTGAAAACCAGAATCCTTCCAATGGCAATACTGAAAATAACTCATGAGTGACTGAGCCTAGCTTAACCTTGTCCAAGGTGCTGTCTTTTGCTCTACTAGTTAAATTACTCTCTCGTCCATAAAAGTTCCTAACTAATCGGCAAAGTCTCCATGTACTTATGTGAGCATCTGCCTCAGTATCTCGGTAAAATCTTACTCATGTGTATAATCTTACCCTGATATCTTTAAATTTAATGGTAATTTGATTTATATTAGCCATTTATTGGAATTAAGTTCATTTTTGTTTTCTTTAGTTCATACTAATTATAGCATCATAACAGCTAATTATAGTTAACTATCAATAAGATTATATAGTGGCACTTCGACTTACGATTGCCCCTACTTACGATAATTTCGAGTTGCGATGTAAATTTCATCGAAAAATGCGACTCGACATCCGATGGTGTCGTTGACTTTCGATATTTGTTGGTACACGTTCGGGTCAACCGAGCCCATGGTTCCCGGTCACGCGGTCTGACCTGCCTCAGTTTACTACAGCTGCCCACTTAGTGACGCTCGCGCCTATAAGAAATTCCGCGTTTGTGATGATTTTTTGCATTTTGAACATAAAAAGTACAGTAATTATTATATATCATACCATGAGTCCCAGGAAAGTCAGTGGTAAGGCTCAACATATGAGAACCCATGTAAGAATGACCATAAAGCAGAAACAAGAGATTTTTCGTAAATATGAAGATGGTGTGCGGGTTGTTGAACTGGCTAGGCAGTACAACAAATCTCGGTCAACGATATCCACCATACTGGCTAAGAAAAAGGACATTATAGGTACTAAAGTGATGCATCATTTCAGACAAATGTTAAAATGAAGGGAAAAACAAATGTCTCTTGACAAATTTGTAGTGAGACAAACAAGCACTGAACCACAACCAGGTCCTAGTGGTATTCAGGCAAAACCTAGGAGAGAGTACCCCAGAGAAAACGTCACTGCCTAATGTGATAATGGATATATATACTATATCTTGAGGTTATATCTTGAGATGATTTCGGGGCTTTAGTGTCCCCGCGGCCCGGTCTTTGACCAGGCCTCCACCCCCAGGAAGCAACCCGTGACAGCTGACTAATACCCAGGAACCTATTTTACTGCTAGGTAACAGGGGCATAGGGTGAAAGAAACTCTGCCCATTGTTTCTCGCTGGCGCCCGGGATCGAACCCGGGACCACAGAATCACAAGTCCAGCGTGCTGTCCGCTTGGCCGACCGGCTCCTAGGAAGGGGGAGTTCCCTCCCTACTATTTGGAAGGGGACTCCCCTTCCAATCAGTAACACCTTCACCATCTTCCATACGCCATCAAGAGCCCTCCATAAAAGTAAGAGAAACTCAGGTACTGTATTGTAGATAGAAAAAAACATTATATTCAGTATAAAATGTATTTGTATGTTAATATTTTGGAGGGTGGGGAACGGATTAATTCAATTCCCTTTATTTCTTATGGGAAAAATCGCTTCGACTTGCGATATTTCGACATACGATCCGTCTCTGGGAACGGATTAGCATCGTAAGTCGAAGCTCCATTGTATATATATAAAATAAAATATATATATAATATATTGTATATATTTTAAGTACTGTGCGTATTTTTTCAGAGTTGACATACATGATGGCAGCGTCTACAAAACATCCAACAGACCATGAGGAACTTATATTGCAAGGCCTCTTAGCTCAGTTTTCCAATTTTAATTATGATAAAGCAAAAGAGCAAGCCGTAAGTACAATGAAGATTTTTATATCGTAAATCTATAACCAGCTGTTGTTTGTTTTGGAATTCCTACCTTTCTGGGTGCCTGACCAGATACTGTAGATCGCAAACTTAGACTGCTTCCAACTACATGGGGGTGTCTATAGGTCATTGCTCCTTGTGTCTCTCTTGAGGGGGCCAGCTTTTGGCACGTGGTCTCAGGTAGGCTAAGAACTCCATCGATTGACTGTTGCCATAGTCTAATATATATACATATCAGCCAGGTATAGCTCCCGGGGAGCCTCCGGGTCGCACCCAGAAAATGGCGTTCCATTACATTCAACACCGGCTTTTCTTATATGTCCCAAAAAATATTGGTCTTGTGAGGTTTTTTGGTGGTCTGGGACATCATCCCCATTTATAGCATTACACATAATAACAATAAATATTAATAAATAATAATAATAATAATTATTTATTTAGGAACAGTACATACATAGTTGCAGTGTAACAGTACAAACATTGTTAGATTTAAAGATAGAGGTAGTACATACAATACCTAAAGCCACTAGTATGCATAGCGTTTCGGGCAAAGAGAGATGGGGGAAAAAAACACTTGGACTAAAACTTAATAGTGATTGAACTTAAAGTATAAATTGTGTTGAATGAAAAAAAAAAAAATTAAGTGAAAAAAAAGGGGGGAAACATGGTAGAAAATAGACAATATACAAGTTGGTCAACAAACAGCATTTTTTTTTTTTAAATAGTAAGACATGGGTTGACATTTAGAAGTAAGGTACGTTATAGGGAGTTAATTAGGTAGTACTTAGTTTTCATCTTAAACTGGTTGAGAAAGGTACAATCTTAGACATAATTGGGAAGGTCATTTCACATTCTGGGTCCCTTGATTTGTAGAGCATTCCTAGTTCGATTAAGTCTAACTCTTGGAATATCAAATAGGTATTTGTTTCTGGTGTGGTGCATACAAGTTCTGTTACAACCTTCTAGGAAGCGTTGAAGGTCAGGATTGACATTACAATTCAGAGTTTTAAATATATGAAGTACACATGAGAGAATGTGCAGTGACTTAATATCTAACATATTCAGAGATTTGAGTAAGGGTACCGAGTGCTGTCTGGGGCCAGAGTTAGATATTGGGAACTAGATATTATTAGTACATATAGGAAATTGTCTGTGTTCCAGACAAATACTATTTGAATACACTTTCAAAATATAACCTGTTCATTGTAGTGGGGACAGCCTAATAATTTGTTATGTTTTAGTATTTTGGTTGAAGTTTCACATATTTTGTTAACATTTACAAGTACTGTACAGTACTTTCACTGAAATTCCTTTAAGGTTGCACCCATGGGGTAATAATAGATGAATTTTTGGCTGTTCTGTATACTGTATTTGTTTAAATATTAGTATTTTATAATATAATTTGTAAAATATTATGTATTTTTGTTTAAATGTTTTTAGAAAATGTTCAATAGTTTACACTTGGATTAGGTGGGTAGTGCTCACGCAGCCATATTCCAACACGACCTCGGCGACACCTTGGGTGATCAGTCCTCACTTAATTGAACAGTTTTATGTTCCACTGAACACAAACCTTTCAGACTATCCAGGAATTCATTAGAACAAAGTTCATTAGAGTGAAGATCCATTGTACTTATATTTTGTTCAAGCTGATGCCACCACACCCTTTGAAAGTGAGAAATAATGACTGTGGTTATTTTGCAAATTAAATATTACAAGTTTTATTGATCCCATTGCAATACATTCATTCAGGAAAAGGAGCGTGATCTAAGCCGGTGTAGCGGATCAGCTGTGTGGCAGTCCCTGCTCACCTGTGTAGCTCAGCTGGCTGCTACAGAGAAGCTGTATATGAATCTTTCATTCCTCACTGCAAAAGGATTTTTGAGGAAAGAGGTAAAAATCTTGTGAAATCTTATTTCTATCATTATTTTCTGGGGGAGCTCCTTCAGCTCCCCAGAGCCAACCGGGCTGATATGAATGTACAGTATTAGACCCTGGCATCAGTCAATGCACATGGAGTTATAGGCCTACCGGGGACCACAAGCTAGAACCTGGCCCCCTCAGAGAAGCATGAGGAGCAATGGCCTATAGAAACCCTCATGTGATTGGAAGCATTCTATGTTTGCCATCGACCGGGTCAGGTACCCAGAAAGGTAAGCGCCCCAAAACAAACCCCTATTCTGGTTAAAATATTGCTACTGAAAGCCAAACTAGTGGACAGAACTCCCTAAATGAAAACGAGCAAATAAGCATGATGTTACCACATCACCGCACCGCTGTTTGCGCAACACCCCACCCTCCCCGGGAGGGGAAAGGGGGAGCTTCAGACCCCTGTGCCGGCTATCCACACCCCAGTTCTGTGACTGATGTGAACTGGCAAGGTTGTGTACCTCTGGCTCCTGTGTTTTCCAGTTCTGTGCCTTGTAATGTGGTGCCGTATTATTTGTGGTGTGCGAGCCAGGAGTAATCTCACAAATACCCCTAGGCCCCGCTTGCTTCATGCGAGTTTGAAGGTTGCTTTATCCCCTTGTCTCAGGGTGACAATCACCGGTTGTGCCTCTGTCATGCTGACTGTTGGGTCGGTGACACCTTCGACCCGGAGTCCTGCGAGTTTTGTTCTTTGTAGTCCAATACACCCAGTCTACTGATCATGATCTTAGAGGTGCAGGCAGCTTCGGTATTGCATGCTTGGTTTAGTTGCTGCAACACACTAGGTTGGTTCAGCCCGCGCCCCCTTGTCCTTGCCCCTCTGTTGTTTGTCCTGGTGCAGGCGATGAGTCACAATAACGTGGCTAAAGTAAGTTGACCAGACCACACACTAGAAGGTGAAGGGATGACGACGTTTCGGTCTGTCCTGGACCATTCTCAAGTCGATCAACTTGAGAATAGTCCAGGACTGATCGAAACATCGTCGTCCCTTCACCTTCTAGTGTGTGGTCTGGTCAATTTGTCCTGGTCCTCCTCCCCCCTCCCCCTGCTTCCGACTCTGAAGCGTCTGAGGGTTTCGGGGTCAGGGCAGGGCTGGTGTTGAAACTCAGGCATTTCCGGAGGATGCCCATTCCGGTGTGGGATGAAGGCATTTGAGCATGTTTTTTCAGCCGGAGCTTCTGGGCCTGACCAGTGGGCCCCCTTCATTCCTGCTTTTTTGGCTGCTCCTGCCTTTTCTTTTGAGGCAGGGGATTTGGAGGATGGCTCGACTCCGGGTCCTTGTGGGGAGGTTTCCGTGGTGGGGGGGGGGGGAGGGGCTAACTTGGGGGGGCCTTGGGCCTCGTTGGACCATGCTTGGGATTTTGTACCCTCTGAGTGGGGCTTGCTGTTACAGGAAGTGGGGTTTTCTTTTCCCTCCCTCCTTGTACGAGTTGAATTTGGTGTCAATCCCTCCCCTGTTTCGGTTCCATGGTTCCTTGGGTTCTTCGGCCCCGTCCTTCCGGAGGTTTTCGGCCTCTCGCATCCCGCCTCGTGTGGTGTGGGAGGTCATTGCGGCTTACCTCCTGCACGACCCGGATTACGCCTCCATAATGGATCCTTCCTTCGTGTTTGGATCATCTTTTCCTTACTGGGTTCGTTATGAGGTTTCAGAGTCGTCCTGGCTTCCGGACTGGGCCTTTTTCTCATTGAAGGCTTGGCATACGTTATCAGTCCCGCACGCTTGAGTGGCACGAGACTCGTACAGTGGTCCAGGTTTTCCTGAGGGTGGCTTTGAGTACCTTAATGCGTGCTTGTTCGCCCCTGCCCTTTCACAGGATGTAGGCATTGCAGCTTCGCTGCTTGTGCAGCTTCACGTGCAGGTTCCGACCCTCTCGGCTGCACTGGTTGCAGAGGACCTGCTCGTCTGTGACCTGTTGGTGTTGGTCTTGCGGTTCTTTTCTTTCCTGAGCTCTCTCCTTGTCTCTCCCTCTGGAGTCTCTACTCTGGCTGCAGTCCCACCTTCGCCTGTTTCTGGAATGCTCCCAGGTCACCCGGCGTTGCTCGAGGGTTTGTGCGGGAGCCTGAACTTTGCTGTGATGGTCTACCCGCTGGGTCGGGTTTGGCTAAGTTGGTTGTTCTGGTTCCTTCGGGGACGTCCCTTCTGCCCCTCTCACGATCGCTGGGTTCGGCCTCCGGGTGCCTTGCATCGGCTGCTGTGTTACGGGCTTCCTCTTCGGGTTTTTTGGAGTTCATTGCCTTGGCACCTACCTGAGCCCTTGCTCGATGTGTTCACAGACGCATCGTCTCTTGACTGGGGCTTGTGACCAGTGCTCACCAGGCCGGCCAGGGGCGGTGGGGTTTGTCCTTCCATCGGGCCAACAGGACGGGGCGGGAGTTTGCGGTGGTGTGGATGTTGCTTCGGAGGTCGCTTCGGGTGACTTGTCTGCTGAGTTCTCGGGGTTTGGCTTTTCTGGCCTTTCACATTCATGGGGTGTCCAACGTCCTGGCAGACGGCCTGTCTCGGTGCATTCCCCTGTCCACGGAATGGACAGTCGACGCCAACTCGTTTAGTTGTCTCTGCTAGACGTACGGGCTCCCGGAGGTGGATTTCTTTGCGTCTGCGTGGTCAAGGTGTCTCCCATTGTATGTGGCACCCTTCCCCGACTGCGAGGTCGTTGGGGTCAATATCTTGCCGCAGGACTAGTTGAGGTGGGGTTACCTGTACCTCTCCCCCCCCCCCCCCCCCCCCGCAATTCAGCTGTTGTTCCAGGTCCTAGCTCACTTGGAGACATACCAAGGGAGAGTACTGTAGTCCTCTTGGCTCCTTGGTGGCTGGCCCAGCCTTGGTTTCAGGGGCTGCTTGCTCGGTGTCCAAACCCGAGGGTCTTCCTACGGCTCCACATCTTTCAGCAGATCAGTCCGGTCTGTTACGTGGCTGGTTCGATCTCCTCCTCGAATCTTAACGCTTGGTCTTTCTGACTCAAGTCTATCACAACTTGTACGGTGAGCAATTGGCTTCGTTGATGGTGTCCCACCTGTGTGCTTCGTCTCGGTGGCAGTATGAAACTTCCTGGCGGTCCTTCCGTTATTTCTTGTTCCTTCGTAGGTTTACTTCTGTCTCTGATAAGGTTGTCTTGTCCTTCCTGGTTGTTCCAGGACCGTCATTTGATGCCGAATACTGTCGCCTCATATCGTGCGTTGAACGTTGATGTTAATTTTGTGCTGTTCCGCAAGCTGTCTCGTGTATTGTTTCACCTCTGGCCTGCTCATGCACCACCTGAGATGTCTTGGTCTTTGGACCGGGTGCTCTCCTTTCTCTCTTCTCTTCGGTTTGTGGTGGCCCCTTCGGTTCAGGATTGTTTTTCCAAGGCTCTTTTTTCTGATGACATTGGCCTCTGGGGTCAGGTCGGGTAGCTTTGTTGCCCGAAACACTATGCGTACTAGTGGCTTTATGTGTTGTATGTACTAGCTCTATCTATAAATCCAACATTGTTTGTAAATCAACTATGTACTTTCCTGAATAAAATTTATTTTACTTTACCCCCGATCTCCTCCGGCACAGGGGTTTCTGCTCTTTTGGTCCTGATGGTAAGTTTGTTTGTTTGCAGCTGTCTCCTTCTTTTCTGGTGAAGAATGAGATGGCTGCTTACCGGAGAGGCCCTTGGCTTGTTGATGCTTGGTTGGTTAGGCCGGGTGCGCATCATGTCTTGTGTCCGGTTACGGCTCTTTGCCGTTACCTGCGCACCACGGCCTCGATGGTTGGGGGACGCAGTTTGGGTCGACCTGGTTTTCCTTCTTCCCTGTTCCAGGGTTCGGGTCTCCCAGGTTGTCCGCAGGGTTATTCGGTCCAGCCAGCCTGCGGTCTATCCTCTTGCCCATGATGTTCGTAAGTTTGCTGCGCTGGTTGCTGTCTTCAATAACGTGTCCAGGGCTGACATTCGGGCACGGGTTTTTGGAGGTCAAACAGTGTCCTGGCCGCTCGCTACCTTGTTAATGTTTCGGGGCCTAGTCGAGCCTGTGTCGCATTGGGTCGGCGGTTCCAGCTAGTTGTCTCAACTTCGCGTTGAGGAAACAAAGGCTGACCGTCTCCCGGGTAAGTCCCTCTTGTTTTGTCTTTGGGTAAGTAGCTCCGAGGAGCTGAAGGGGCTCCCCCCAGAAAAACAGCGTTGAATATAATGAAACAGCATTTTCTGGGTGGCTCCCTGGCAACTCTCCCTCCCTCCGGCTGGCAGTTTTTCACGTATTTTGACATCCAACCTCATAAATGGGGTGTTGATAGCCGGCGCGGGGGTTTGGGGCTCTCCCTTTCTCCTCCCGGGTAGTGGGAGGGTTGCGCAGACAGCTGTGTGGTGATGGGGTGACGTCATGCTCGTTTTCATTTGGGGAGTTCGTCCACTAGTTCGGCTTCCAGTAGCAATATTTTAACCAGAATAGGGGTTTGTTTTGGGACACTTACCTTTCTGGGTGCCTGACCCAGTTGATGGCAAACATAAAATGCTTCCAACCACACGGTTGCAATAGCCTATGAACTTCAGTCTTGACTTCAAGTTGATACCTGTGGTGTTGCAGCCCTGGCAAGTTCACTTCAGGGAGTCAATGGGCGTCCCCACAGAAAACCAGCATTGAATGTAATGAAACACCAGTTTCTGGGTGAGCCTCGGAGGCTCCCGGACTCCCTTCCCTTCCTGCCCAACCTGTCTTCTTACAAATAACATTGCTTTTTGCTCGTATGTGCTACGGGCAAAAATTGCTGTAATTCAAAATGGAAATTTTCCAAATGAAATGGACCCAAAACTTTGTTTTGGGTCCTCTGGTAGCTTAGGAGGGTAGCAAGTTCTCCTAAGGTTTCAAAATGTCATGAAAGCTGTTAACTTAAACTGTCCTTTGCTTAGCTAACAGACCAAGCCAGAGGATGCAAACAGAAAATGGGACAGTATGTCACTTTCACGAGCCGCTTCCATTTTCTATTATGGCAGTTTTTAGTCTTAGTGCGCATACAAGCGAAAAGCAACATTATTTGTAAATGGACGGGTTGCCCTGCTGGCAGAATGATTCTCATTAAAGAACTAAAGCAGGCTGGGCCAGCTACCCCCCTTCACCCCAACAAGGGGCAGGTGGAGCTAACCAGCAGGGAGGCTAGTTTCACTAAGTTCTGGTTGTTTCTTATCTTCTTGGGAGAGTTCTTCGGGATATGGGGAGCTTCGGCCTCGTTTTTTAAACCAGGCAGTGGTTTGTTTTGATTCGCATATCTTTCTGGGTGCCTTTCCGGTGATGGCAAAGATGATATCCTTTAAATGTAAAGTGATTATAAGCTATCACTCCCTGCGCCTCTGTGAGGGAAGGGGGGACCGGGTTCTGGCTTGTGGTCCCCCGTAAGCAAAAAAGAACTCCACAACTGATGACACTAGGTAGAATGGCAATTAATCAGTGATAATAACTTCAGGGAGCCTCAATGACTCATCCAGAAACTGGCGTTTCATTACATTCAACGTTGTTGTTTTTTTTACTTCTGTCTTCTTTCTGGGTGAGCCCTGGCCATCACAGGGCTCACCCAGAAATTGGCATTTTATTACATTCAGCGCTGGTTTTTACAAGCGAGGGGAAACCCAGCGTGGGCCTCCCTCCCTCAGCTGTTCCTTGGCACCAGTGGAGGAAGAGGGGGTAATAAAACATCTCGAGGGAGGGAGGGAGGGTAGGCATGTGAGCAGAAGTAAGCAACTAGCTAGCATGTAGGCTATGTGGAGCATGGTGGGGGGGCACTTGCTCTTATGAAGGGCTGTGCTGAGGGCCCTCAGGTAATAAAGAAAAGATGTGGATATCACTTTGATCCTAGAAATTTGCCAAACTGATATCAACCTTATTTTATTTAATATTGGCTTTTATATTTTCAGAGTTCTGTTCGTGCAAGTTATGAGTTGCTCAACACAGAGTTGAATGAAATGGGCTTGGAAAAGAAAAATATTTTAAGTAACAATGGTAATACTTCTACCAGTGGGCTAACCTCCCCAGGAAGCTCAGGCTGTGATGGAATATTACGACATCTGTGTTCTCATCTTGTCCTTTTTATCAAAGCCCGGCTTCAAATGATAACATTGTATCCTTTTTTATCATAAAAATTAGTTTTCTTCGAGTTGATACCAAATGTTTCCATTCAACAAAATGGTAAGGTCAGGTAAAGGACAGTAACTCCTATAAGTTTTCTGGGGGAACCCTTTGTTGACTCCCTGTAGCTGTCTAGTTTACATTACTCCATACTATGTCACAACAGTTGTGGGAGTTCTGCTTGGCTTACTGACACCAGGGCCAGAATTTGGCCTCCCTCGCAGAGGTGCAAAGAGCAAATTATAATTCGGCATTTCATTGGGAAAGAAATGCCGGGGGCTTTGTTCTTTTGGTCCTGGTGGTGCTTTTGTTCAGTTGCAGCTAGCTCCTTCTTTTCTGGTGGGGGGCTTTGTTCTTTTGGTCCTGGTGGTGCTTTTGTTCAGTTGCAGCTAGCTCCTTCTTTTCTGGTGGGGGCTTTGTTCTTTTGGTCCTGGTGGTGCTTTTGTTCAGTTGCAGCTAGCTCCTTCTTTTCTGGTGGGGGGCTTTGTTCTTTTGGTCCTGGTGGTGCTTTTGTTCAGTTGCAGCTAGCTCCTTCTTTTCTGGTGGGGGGCTTTGTTCTTTTGGTCCTGGTGGTGCTTTTGTTCAGTTGCAGCTAGCTCCTTCTTTTCTGGTGGGGGGCTTTGTTCTTTTGGTCCTGGTGGTGCTTTTGTTCAGTTGCAGCTAGCTCCTTCTTTTCTGGTGGGGGGCTTTGTTCTTTTGGTCCTGGTGGTGCTTTTGTTCAGTTGCAGCTAGCTCCTTCTTTTCTGGTGGGGGGCTTTGTTCTTTTGGTCCTGGTGGTGCTTTTGTTCAGTTGCAGCTAGCTCCTTCTTTTCTGGTGGGGGGCTTTGTTCTTTTGGTCCTGGTGGTGCTTTTGTTCAGTTGCAGCTAGCTCCTTCTTTTCTGGTGGGGGGCTTTGTTCTTTTGGTCCTGGTTGTGCTTTTGTTCAGTTGCAGCTAGCTCCTTCTTTTCTGGTGAAGAGACAGTGGGCTTCCAGAGAGGTCATATGGTTGTGGATACTTGGTTAGTTCGGCCGGGGGTGCCTCGTGTGTTGTGTGCGGTTGCATCTTTGTGCCGCTATATGCGGGCCACCAGTTCTGTTTCAGTGGATGCATTGTGGGTTGATCCAGTTTCCCAGGTTCCCTTTTCTAGGGCTCGTGTGTCTCGGGTTGTCCGCAGTGTCATTAAGTCTAGCCAGCATGTGCTCTACCCTCGTGCCCTTGATGTGCGGAAGTATGCCGCTCTGTTGACTGTGTTTGGGAACATGTCTTGGAACAATATTCGGGCACCGGGGTTTTGGAGGTCTAACAGGGTCTTGGCTGCCAGATATCTGGGTAACGTTCCTGGCTGTCTACGGCCTTGTTTTGCTTTGGGGAGTTTGTCGCGACTGACAGTCTCTTCTTCGTGTTGATGTCTTTGGTACTGCCATCTCCCTGGTAAGTTTCTGTTTTCCCTTCTCTGTGGGTAGTTAGCTTCAGAGAGCCTATGGGCCTCCCCATAGAAAACCATCATTGAATGTAATGAAATGGAAGGGAGGGTGGGTGTTAGGAAGCCTAATACCCTCCCTTCCTCCTTCCGGTTGGCAGCTTTTATCATTCAAGAATTGGCTTGTGGCTCCCTCCCCCCCCTCCCAATAAGGGGGGGGAGATGAAGCTAACAAGTGGGGGGGGGGGTTAGTTGGACGAAGATTTGGTTGCTTGTTTCTTTGTAACCATTGCTCCCTGCACCTCTCTGAGGGGGCTAAGTTCTGGTTTGTGGTGCCCAGTAGGCACACAAGAACTCTGTGACTGATGACTCCAAGTAGTATGGCACTTAATCACTTAGCTAGCTTCAGAGAGCCTCCGGGGCTCATCCAGAGACTGGCATTTCATTACATTCAGTGCTGGTTTTATATACCATTGCAACAACAAAAGCTAGAGTTAATATACCAGTCATTACAGGAGCTTCCCACAGAAAGGACTGTTTACCTGTCTGATGTTAAATTTATTTGTTTACTATTTAAATGAGTTTCACTTGTATATATTAGCTTTAGTAATATATAATTGAAGTTGAATGGCTCCCAGGATTTGGGTGCTAATGTCATTAAACTTCAGTACAAGTGAATGATCATTTACTTTATATAAAATATGTATTTTCTTAACACTAATAATAGCTATGAAAGGGTAATTGAAATGTCCATTTGTCGTTTGATGAATTTTGAAGAGTTGCTTTCTCACATAATAGACATCAGTTCCAGTAACAGCCGGAATTTCCATCATCCGCTCTTGACTCCAATAAAAACAAGCTTTACGTAAGTTACTGTCTTCATTATTATGTTATATTTGGTGGTGTTGAAAGAGATCTCACATTGTTATGAAATCATAATGCAGTTATATATATATTTATACAAGTATATTTTGGTAGCAGTCTTTCTAGTAGACATACAGTGGTACCTTCGTTTATGATCGTAATCCGTTCCCAGAGACGCATCGTCAACCAAAAATTCATCAACCAAAACAAATTTTCCCTTGAGAAATAATGTAAATTAAATTAATCCGTTCCACACCCCCAAAAGTATTAACTTAAAATTCATTTTATACAAAATACTACAGTACTTATATTTTTCATACACAAAACAGTTAGGTGCAAATATAAACCATTCATAAAATAAGTGAACATTTAACTGCACTTTACTTTTACTGAGGACTCTTGTTGACGTATGGGAGACGGTGTGGAGGGAGGAGGGAGGGAGGAGCAGTGTTGGTGTATGGGAGGGTAAGGAGGAGGGGGAAGGTGGTGAGACCGTCCCATGCTCCCCTTGAATGCTTTTGTATCTGCATCATTGGTTCTAGATTTTCCTTCCAAACATTTCACTGCCTCTGTTGTGTGGCAGCCAGTCAGAACTATTCACTTACAGTCAAGACCAGTCACAGGTAGTCATAACTGAAGGGAGTTAAGCATTCACAGTTGTGGTAGCAACCGGTCAGCCATTTACAGTCAATCAGGCATTTCATTACATTAGACCCTTGATGTTGGCTGCATTTTGACCCTTGGTAGGGATAGGGTTAAAAAAAAATGGCACCATAGTCATTAATGAACAGTGCAGTGCATGCATTCTGGTTAATTAGCCATGCTTACTATATATAACATGGACATTAAGGATTAATTTCCTAAGACAAAATAACATGATTGGAAAGATGAAATATTTTGCATTTTTTTCAGATATGAATGCGACATTCTGATACATTTATTGAGAAGCCAGCTAGAGATGCAGTTCTGGCGTTTCCTGCCATCCCTACTTCATCTTCACGATGCTCATTCAAAGCTAAATAGTTGGCACACTGTTGTTCAGTCAAAGGAGGTGAGAGACATTATTCGATGAAAAACAATTTATTGTTCTGGGTTATTGAGAGAAATAGCATTTGGCTTTTGAATTCTGCTTCATTATACTATATTTATTTATGTATGTGCATGTGTAGGTGACCTGTTGCATAGTAGTTACTGTACTCAGCTCAAAACTGATTGAACCCAAGTTTGAATCCCATGCAGGGCAAGAACTTTGGGCAAGTTTTCTTTTGTCCTCTAAAGTGCAACTGTGGATTGGCACATCTGCCTATGCAAAAAAAAAAAAAATAATAATAATTTTTATTATAGAATGATTAATTTGGATGCAAAATGTACAAAAAATTTGAAATAAACTGAAAATCTGCGTTGTATCCAGTTTCATGTACTGTATTAGTAGTTGACCTTGGAGGCCTGGTCGAGGACTGTGCTGCGGAGATGCTAAACCTTGAAACTATCTCGAGGTAACCTCAAGGTAAAGTAACCTTGTGGCAGTCTACAGTAGCTGAATCTGTCAAAGCTAGACCCTGTGTGTATTGACTCAAAGTAGCGAAGCCAGATGACTCTCAGTGTTGACCTTAGATGTCTAAACAATCATATCTGGGAGAGCCCAATGCTCTCTGAAGCTGTCATGCCAAGATTGCTCCATGCTAATGGGTGACATCAGGTGTGGAAGTTCTATTTGGCATAAGGGTTATTTTCTTGAGGTTATCTTGAGATGATTTCGGGGATTAGAGTCCCCGCCTCTCGGTCCTCGACCATGCCTTCTTTTTGTTACACATCCCCAGGAAGCAGCCCGTAGTAGTTATTTAACTCCCAGGTACCTATTTACTGCTAGGTGAACAGGAACATCAGGGTCAAAGAAACACTGCCCATTTTCTGGGGGGAGCCCCGTCGGCTCCCCGGAGCTTTACCGGCTGATATGCTAATGTCAGACTTTGGCATCAGTCATGTGTATGGAGTTCTAGGGCCTACCGGGGACCACGAGCCAGAACCTGGCCCCCTCAGAGAGGCAAGGGGAGCAATGGCCTATAGAAACCCCCGTGTGGTTGGAAGCATTCTATGTCTGCCATCGACCGGGTCAAGCATCCAGAAAGGTAAGCATTCCAAAACAAACCCCTATTCTGGTGAAAATTGCTACCTAAGCCGAACTAGTGAATAGAACTCTTCAACAGAAAACACGGAAACTAGTATGACGTCATACGTCACCGCGCCGCTGTCTGCGCAGCTCCCCCCTCCCCGGGAGGGGGAAGGGGGAGCCCCAGACCTCCCACGCCGGCTATCCACCCATCAGTTCTTCGGCTGATGCTATAGGCAATGGTTATGTGCTCCGGCTCCAGTGGTTGTTTCAGCACTGTACCTAGAGTGTGGTGTCTGTTTTCTAGGTGGTGCGTGAGCCGGGTGTGATTCTTCAGTACTCGGGCTGCATGCGCCTAGGGTTCCCTTCCCTAGGTGCCTTGTAAGTACTGCCCTTGGGGCTTGGGGCCACCTTCCACAAGTTCCTTGGGTCCTGCCCCTGCTTGGCCGTTTACCGCTTGGTTTTCGGCCGCTCTTTGTGTGCTCGGGTGTTCTGTCTCCCTTGTTCGCCTTAGAGTAAGGGGCGGTGTTTGCACTGGTGGGGCGCGGGGTACTGTGCAGCTTGTCTTTACCAATCATAGCGGCCGGCTCTGTTCCGCTTGGGTACGCTGTCCTCTTGCGGGGTTTTCTTTTTCTTTTGTTTATATACCTGGTGGGGGGGTCTGCCTTCGTTCTTGCCCCTTGTGTCCCTTGTGTTCTGAGTATTTCTGGTGGTACCCCCTGCTAGGTCCCCGTGAGTGTACACGTCCCGGGGGTTCAGCTCTTAGAAAGTTGTTTGGTAGCTTGGGTGCCGGTTAGCAGTACCCTGCCTGGGATTACCTGAGCGCGAGTCCTCTTAAAGTAAACGCTCGGGACCCTGGGAAACCCCTGGGGGCGCGCGGGTCCGATGGATGTGACCCCAGAGCCCCCCCCTCGCTTCCAGCGAGTTTGAGGGTTGCTCTCACCTTTTGTCTCTGGGTGACTCTCTGTTTTGCCTCCGTCTGCTGCCTGTGGGGTCGGTGACACCTTCGACCCGGTGTCCTGCGAGTTTGGTTGCTCGTTGTGGCTCGGTTACCCAGTTGTGCTAACAAAGCGGGTGCGGGCAGCAGGGGCGTTGCACTTGAGCCTTGGTGGTGGCAACGTTCTCGTGGTTTCCTCCCCGGGAGCCCCGGGGCTGCCCCGTTGTATTTCGTTTTGGGAGCTTGGGGGTGTTGGTTGCATCCACGCCCCCTTGTCTTTCCCCTGGTTCACCCTTCCTGCCTGCATCCGGTTCCTTACCGTCTGTAGGTTCAGGGCGGGGTGTTTCGTGGTGTTGAGACTCGGGCAGTCTCGGGGAATTCCCCTTCCGGGGTAGTGACGGGGGCATTTGGGCCTGTTCCTCCAGCCGTGTTGTATGAGTCTGCCAGTGGGCTCCCTTCCTTAGTGTTTTCACGGCTGCCCCGGTTTTCTGGTACGGCCGGGGCTTTGGGGGAACGGCTCGGCCCCGGGGCCTGTCGTGTAGGTTCCCGGGGCTGGGGAGGGGCTGCCTTGGGGGGGCCTTGGCCCCGTTAGACCCCGTGGGGGGTTTTATCCCCCTCTAGGCGGGGCTTGTGGTTACGCGGAGTGGGGTCTTTCCTCCCCACTCGCCGTACGTGCTGTTGGACGTCGGCCCCTCCCCGGGCTCGGTTCCTTGGCCTTTGAGTCGGTTGGTTCCGTCCTGTGGGTGGATGTTTCCTCCCCCGCTTTTTGGGACGGTGTTTTTGTCATGTTTCCCCGTTCGTTGGGGTTCTGCGTGACTTTTGATCTCGGGTGCGCCTGCGCCTTCGTGTGCCTTCGGGACTAGTGTTGGCTTCTGTGTTCTCGAGGGTACGGGAAGGTTTTTCGCTACTTCCCGCATTATTGGAACGTCTGTCGGCTCCTAGTACTTGTCGCCCTGTTGGGCTACTTGTCGCCCTGTTGGGCTACTTGTCGCCCGGTTGGGCTCCTTGTCGCCCGGTTGGGCTACTTGTCGCCCGGTTGGGCTACTTGTCGCCCGTTTGGGCTACTTGTCGCCTGTTTGGGCTACTTGTCGCCCGTTTGGGTTCCCTTTTTTTTGGGGCTCTTTGCTTCTTGGCCGGTTTTATTGTTCCTGCTTCCTCTTTTGGCTCCTTTTCTCGTGCAATAGTCCTGGCTGGCGCCTTCCCGCAGGGAGGGTGTGCGGTTCGGCCAGCGTGTTATGCGCATGCGCCGTGGAGTTTGTTTTGGTCTGGGCGATGGTTCAGTGCTGGGGTTTTGCGCCCTTTTTTGCTACAGTGCTTCGCCTCTCGTTCTTCTCCCTGGCTGCGGTATGTGCCCCTTTGCACCAGGGGTGTCCTGGTTCCCAGTTGTGGGGAGGACACCGCGGTTTTCTGTGTCATGGGTGTGGACCGCCTCCTTCGCCTCTCCCTGTTCTCCTGCGGGTCCGGCTCTGGCGTCTTCACCTGGCGGTGCTCCCAAGTTCTTCTGGGCACGGTTGAGTCGTGTCAAGTTCGAGCCACCATTCGCCAGGTGAGTTTCTGCGGTCTGGCGTCTTTTGGCCGGGCGCTGGATGCGGCGGTGTTCATATACCTGTTTTTATTTAGGTATAATTTTGTACGACTGAGACCGTTCGCACACCAGTGACTGTCCCTTTATCACCCCTTCCTGTCCCCCTCATGTGCATGTCCAACCCATGCTGGAGTCATTCAGGGGACCCTCCTTTTTTAATGTTGTGAGGTGTGGGGGTTGTAGGGTTGGTTCTGTACTCACCTGGTGAGGCTCCTGGCTGTGCTTGCAGGATTTGAGCTCTGGCTCTTGGGTCCCGCCTATCTGGTAGAACTTGCGGGATAGTACCAGCGGAGTGCAGTGGTGCTATTGGCACCTTTGGGGAACACTGTATTACCATCAGAGGTCTGTGCTTGTTACACGACCTACTTGCGAGCATAAGCCTTCTTGCTGGTTCGTCCGTGGACTTCCAGGGCGCACTGGCCTGTTTTCGTATGGCAGTTCCGGCCCGTCCTGGTTGTGGGGGTATGTGGACCGGTGGACTGCTCCTAGCAGCTGCCTGGTGGGCCATCCTCTGGCCGGTCTGGCCTGACCTTGGGCCGGGCTTGAGGTGTAAAAGAGCTCCCAGTACCTCATCCAGCAGGTATCGAGCGGGGTTTTCTCCGCCGTCGGTCGCCTGGTGCAGGTTTCTGGGCCTGCAGGGTTTTGTCGTGTCTCCGTTGGCCCTGTCTGGGGTCTGCCTGCTCCGTTCTCTGCCTTTGCAGAGGGGAGTTGCTATTTACATGTTGCATGTTGCAGTGGTGCCTGTTGCTGCTGCTGCTGCACGTGAGCATTGGTACCGTGTTTCACGGTGGCGTGTCCTTGTTCCTGTGTCCGGTTGTGGAGTGGCGCTTTGCTGCCGTTTTGTGCCTGGGGATTGCGTGGGGTTTTTGTCCCTGCCTGATTGTCCACCCCTGGTTGTTCTCCTGGTTTTTTTTTTTTTTGTGCTTCTGCTCTTTCTTCCTGCCTCTTCTGCAGCAGGAATGTTCTGCGTGTGTTCTTAGGCGTTGGTCAGCCTGTGTCCTGTGATGTGCTTCTTTGTCTCGGTCTATTGCAGTTGTTCGTGCCCCTTGGTTCGGGTCCTGTTCTGGCGGCGACCCTTCCGCCTTCTTTGGTTTTCCTAGCTTGCCCTGCCGGTTGTTGTTGTTTTACTTTTTTTGGGGGGGTTCTTGCGATGTCTCGCGTCGGACCTGTCGTTTCTGAACTCCTGGCGGGCTTGCATGCTTCGGAGTTTTTCTGTTCGGCAGACGTTCCATCTCCTTGTGCCGCCTGGGTTTCGGTGGTCGCGCCCGAGATCTTCTCGCGGCTCCGCCTTTTTCCTGGGCTCGGGGGGGGCCTTGTCGGGGCTGCTTATGTTCTGCCTCGTGGTCTCGCCTCCGGTTGGTGGTCAGGTGGCTTCGTGGTAGGTGTCCCACCTGCGTGCTTTCTTGGCGGCAGTATGGGGTATTTTGGCGGTCCTTCCTTTTCCTGTCCCTTCTTCGGTGGGTCCTTCTTGTTGGCTTGGTTTACTCTCGGCTTGGTTTTCTAGTAGGGGTTGGGGGCCGTCGTCTTGCCACATACTGTCGCCTCTTTTCGTGCGGCGCAGGCGGAGCCGCTTCAGCTTGCTTTCGGTCTTGGTGTTGCTTCTGCACCGTTAGTCAGCTGTCTTGTGCGTCTTTCACCTCCGGCCTGTTCGTGCGCCGCTTGCACCATCCTGGTCTCTGGTCAGCGCGCTCTGTCTTCTCCTCGGTTGGTAGTGCCCCTTCGGTTCCGGTGTGTTTTTTCGTCGGCTCTTTCCTTTGGGCCTTTGCCTCTGGGGGTCGGTTCGCTGTGTTTTCTTGCTCCTTCGGTTTTAGCGTTTTGGTTGTTTGATGGCAGCAGTCTCCATCTTTTCTGGCGGGGGGTGGGGCTGCTGCATTCTGGAGGGGTCCAGGGTTTGTTGGTGCTTTGTTGGTCGGGCCGGGGGTGTGTCGTTTTTGTGTTCAGTGGCGGCCCTCTGCTGTTGTTTGCGTGCCACGGCGTTTGGGTCCGGAGCGCGTTTTGCGTTGATCCGGTTCTGTTCTTCCCGGTTCGCGGGTGATGGTGTCCCGGGTGGTCAGCCGTGTTCTTGCGGCTAAGCTGCCTGTGTTCTTCCCTCATGCCTGTGGCGTTCGTGGCTTCGCTGCTCTCGCTGCCGTCTGGGCGACGTGGCCTTGCAGTCTTTCGGGCATGGATTTTTGGTGTTCGTGCAGGGGCCTTGCTGCTCGTGGTTCTCGTGTTGTTCCCGGGATTTTCGGGGCTGTGGCGCCTTGGGTTGGCGTTTGCTGCCGGTTGTCTCGCCTCCTTGGGGGGTGCGTGGTGTCCGCCTCCCGGTTTTGTCCCTTTGACCTTCCTCTGTGGGTAGTTAGCTCCGGGGAGCCGACGGGGCTCCCCCCAGAAAACCACCGTTGAATGTAATGAAACGCCATTTTCTGGGTGAGACCCGGAGGCTCCCCGGCAACCCTCCCTCCCTCCGGTCGGCGTTTTTCGCGTGTTTTGACATCCAGCCTCAGAACTGATGGGTGGATAGCCGGCGTGGGAGGTCTGGGGCTCCCCCTTCCCCCTCCCGGGGAGGGGGGAGCTGCGCAGACAGCGGCGCGGTGACGTATGACGTCATACTAGTTTCCGTGTTTTCTGTTGAAGAGTTCTATTCACTAGTTCGGCTTAGGTAGCAATTTTCACCAGAATAGGGGTTTGTTTTGGAATGCTTACCTTTCTGGATGCTTGACCCGGTCGATGGCAGACATAGAATGCTTCCAACCACACGGGGGTTTCTATAGGCCATTGCTCCCCTTGCCTCTCTGAGGGGGCCAGGTTCTGGCTCGTGGTCCCCGGTAGGCCCTAGAACTCCATACACATGACTGATGCCAAAGTCTGACATTAGCATATCAGCCGGTAAAGCTCCGGGGAGCCTCCGGGTCTCACCCAGAAAATGGCGTTTCATTACATTCAACGCTGGTTTGTTTCCGCCTTCACCGGGGATTGATCCCGGAACCTCAGGACAATGAATCCAAAGTGCTGTCCACTCGGCTGTCAGGCCCCTATTTGTGGCAGATGCAAATGTAGAATGGAACCTATGGCTCCTCTACTCCTCCTTGAAGAGTAGAGGTTCCATAGGCACAATCAGAGAGCACTGTCTGAACATCAGAGGTTCACGGGTGTTCAATTCTCTCCCAGCAAGCATTAGAAATATTGCTGGAATAATGGTGGACATATTTCAGAGACAGATATATTCTTGCAAGAAGTCTTGAACCAACCAAGCTGTGGTGGATATGTGGGCCTGCGAGCAGTTACAAGCTTGGTCTGTTGGACCAAGATAACATAAGTTGAGACTGACCGAGGCTGGGCTCGGGAAGTAGAAGAGCTTCCGAGACCCTCTCCAGGTATGGCCCCCTCACAGAGGCACAGGCAGCATTATCATTTCGCTACCTCACCAGAGAACACTTCCAGAAAGTCAGCGAGTCAAAACAAACCACTGCTGGGTTCAAAAGAGACTTAACACCTCTAAACCCACCTAATTACTCGCCAATTATGTAAACAAACATTTGAATCTCTCGAAGCTAGCATGAGCTTATTTGCCGCACCTCACCTGCCTCATTTGACGTGAGGGGCGAGGGTCTTACCACCTCCAGGGGTCTTTACAGTCAGTTCTTATGCTGATGTAATTGGGGCCCCCCCTGACTGCCATAGTGGTTCCTTGGTCACCACTCTTCCACGTAGGCTCCTCTGTTCAGCTAAGTAGTTTTGGTGTATGCCCTTGGTGGCTTTTTGTGTACATTATGTTGTAGCATGAACTTGGATTATACAATACTTGAAGCTCCATATGCCTAGGATTACCTTCCCTGTATGCTCCCTAGTGCTTCTTTGATTGTCCCACCTGTGTTCCTCTTCTCAGTAACAATATGAGGTTATCCGACTCTTGTTTTACCTCTGTTCCCCTTTATCATTGTCAGTTTCTGAGAGTATGGTGCTCTCTTCTTCTTCTTTCTTGACTTTTTATTGGTCAGTATCTCATACTGAATTCTGTCGCCTCATATTGTGTGATGCTGGTGGAGTTGCTGCAGCTTACGTTTAGTGTCGATACTAGTTCACGCCATTTTACAGGCTGTCTCGTGCTTTGTTTCACCTCCAGCCTTCTCATGCACCACCTGAACCTGCATGGTTGTTGAACCATGTTCTCACCTTCACCTTTCCTTCTTCTCATTTTATGGTGTCCTCTTCAGTCCATGATTCTTTCACCAAGCCTTTGCTTTTGGTGTCTCTTGCTTCTGGTTGTCAAGTCAGGTAGCTTCATGCTTTCCTCGTGAGATGCAGTTTTCGTTGTTTTGGCCCCGATGGGCATTTTGTTCATTTGCAGCCAGCTCCTTTGCTGGCAAAGAATGAGTTGGTTGGTTTCTGTGAGGGCCCTTGGTTATTAATTCACGGTTGGTTTGGCCGGGGTTGCATCATATGATGTGGCCGGTGGCAGCTCTCCACTGCTACCTTTGTGCCACCAATTCTGCTTCGGTGGATGCTTTGTGGGTTGATCCTGTTTCCTTGGTTTCCTGTGCTAAGCCACGTGTTTCTCAAGTCGTCCGCAGTGTTAATCCTAGCCAGCCTGCAGTCTACCCTTGTGCCTATGATGTTCGGAAGTATGCCACTCTCATGGCTGTGTTTCCTAATGTGTCCTGGGCCTATATTCAGGTGTGTGGGTTTGAAACTCTAACAGGGCTCTGGTGGCTTAGAATTTGGTGAATGTTCTTGGGCCCCAGTGCCTTTTGTGTGGCTTTGGTCATGTCTCTCATCCTGGGGTTTCTTCTTTATCCTGACTCCTATGATCCTCCCTCCTCCCTGGTAAGTTTCCTTATGTTCTTTTTTCTCCATGGATAGTTAACTTTAGGGAGCCACATAGGGATTACCCCAGAAAACCAGCCTTGAATGTAATGAAATGACAATTTCTGAGTGAACCTGATGGCTCCCTGGTTCCCCCCTATTCCCTTCCTTCCAGGTCATTGGGTAGGATTTGTTTGTGTATCTGCACCAGAACTGATTGCTTAGTCCCCTTGAAGATGGTGAGCCCCTTTCCTATAGTTCGGGAGTTCATTAGTCTCTTATGAACCTGGCAGTGGCTTGTTTTTGATTCGCTGACTTCCTGGATACCTTCCCCAGTGAGGTGGCAAAATATTTCCGCTCCCCGCACCTCCGTGAGGATGGGGGTATGGCCAGGTTCTGGCTTTGTTCCATGGTAGTCCCAGGAACACCACTGCTGATGTGACCTGTAAGATGGGAACCATCTTGGTGTATAGCTTCAGGAAGCCACCAGGACTTGCCCAGAAATTGGCATTTCATTACATTCAATGCTGTTTTTGTTTTTTACAGACAAAGAAGTATGGGTTTGGCTCCAGTTTCTTGAAGTCTTCTCCCCTTCCTTCCTTATACCAGTGGCTCTGGCAAGCAAAAGCGGCATTTGTTTCCAAGTTTTCTCTGTATTTCCATGAAACCCTGGCAGCACAAAGCTCACCGGCAGATATGAAGGCTCTTATCTCCCGACAAGGGCAAGCATGTGATTATGTTTCAAAGTAAGTGTTTGATGACACTTACCATAATTTATATAGTGGTACTCTCATTTTATAAGGCTTAAATTTAAAATATGACCAGAATTTAATCCGTTCCAAAAAACTTTTTGCAGCTCCTAGACGGTTCGAATTTAATCTGTAAAAGTCGAAAATTTGTAAACCGAAGTGAATTTTCCTTATGGGATACATAAGAAATAATGTAAATGAATTAAACCATTTCACACTCCCCAAAAAATTAACTTCAAAGTAAAAATTATACCTAATTCACCCAACTCTTTAGTACTAAAGTATATACTTGTTATTACTTACCTTTACTGATGACTCTTGTTGGTGTATGGAAGATGGTGAAGAGGGGAGGGAGGAGGAGAGGTGTTAGTGTTTGGAAGGGGAGTCCCCTTCCATTATAACATCAGGCAGTGATGACTTCTCCGGGGTAGACACTCTGGCACATTTTGCCTGCATACCACTAGGACCTGCTTGTGGCTCACTGCTTAATTTTTTCACTAAAAATCGATCCATTGAGGATTGTTTTTCCCTTCGTTGTAACACTTGTTTGTAGTGAGGCATCACATTGTCATTAAAAAGGTTAATGCAGCGGCCTACTACAGCTTTGATCTGGGCAAGTCGTTTCGACAAAAGTTTGCATTTCTTCCCACAGTCTACACCATTTCCTAATGCTGAGAAAGGTACATTCTGTACTGCCTCTTCCTCCCGTGAAGAAATTTCCTCGGCTACCTCTTGTTGCTGCTCATTGTGAAGGGCTAGGAGATCTTCGGTGGCCAGTTCTTTGCTGTGTTCCTCCACCAACTCTTCCACATCAACACCATCCAACTGCAAGCCCAATTTTTAGCCCAGAGTAACAATTTCCTCAACAATAGTCACTTCAGGTTCAGGCTCAAACCCCTCAAAGTCTAGTTCTGAAACACATTCAGGCCACAATTTTCTTCAGAGAGAGATCAGGGGTTCTTTGAGTCGCTTCTTGCCAGGTTTTGTCAATGAGTTTTAAAGCAGTACAAATGTTAAAATGTTTTTTCCAGAACTCTTTGAGGTTGAGGTGTGTAGAATCAGTCACTTCGGAACATTTCCGGAAATGTGCCCTATCATAAAGTTTCTTAAAATTGGATATGATTTTCTGGTCCATAGGCTGAATTAGAGGAGTGGTGTTAGGAGGAAGGAACTTTATAGTAACAAAATTAAATTTGTCCAACAATGCATCTTCCAAGTCTGGAGGATGAGCAGGAGCATTGTCGAGGAGAAGCAGGGCCTTGAGTGGCAAACTTTTCTCCTGCAGATATTTTTTTATGGCAGGGCAAACCACCTCATTCACTCACTCCGTAAAAAATTGCCTTGTCACCCATGCCTTACTATTAGCCCTCCACATCACACACATTTGACTTTTCTGCAAATTATATTTTTTTTAAAACCCTTGGATTTTCAGAATGATACACAAGCAAGGGTTTAATTTTCAAATCACCACTCGCATTGCCACACAGCACAGAGTAAACCTATCTTTCATAGGCTTGTATCCTGGCAATGACTTTTCCTCCAGGGTAATGTATGTCCTCTTAGGCAATCTTTTGCAGAATAGTCCTCTCATTACAATTAAACACTTGTTGTGGTAGGTATACTCACTCTCCACAAAATCTTTAAATTCATTAACAAATCTTTCAGCCGCTGGTTTGTCTGAGCTTGCAGGTTCCACACGTCTCACAACACTATGAATACCACTTCTTTTTTTAAATTTCTCAAACCATCCTCTGCTTGCCTTAAACACTTTCGTATCTGCCTCACTCGTTCCAGGGGATTTCCTTAAAAGGTCTTCATGCAATTGCTTTGCTTTCTCACAAATGATAGCCTCTGAAATGCTATCACCTGTTAACTCCTTGTTATGTATCCAAATTAATAACAACTTTTCAACACCCTCAAGTGTTTGTGTTCTTTGTTTCGTGATTGTTGATACGCCTTTTGCCACTTTAGCATTCATAATGTCCTTTTTCTTAGCAAGTACAGTGCATAGCGTTGACATATATTTGTTGTACTGCTTAGCAAGTTCAACAACACGTGTACCATTTTCATGTTTATGAATGATCTCTTGTTTTTTCTCTATGGTCATTCTCACATGTGTTTTCTTGGCTTGAACCTTACCACCAACTTTCTTGGGACCCATGGCGAGATATATAATAATAACTTTTATGTTCAAATACCCAAAAATCCGAAAAAAAGCTGAAATTCTTTACAAAGAATTCAGGCGCGATTGTCACTAGGTGGGAGGCACTGGTAAACTGAGGTGCGGTCGCTGTACCACCATGCGCTAGGTTGGCCATACTCATATCAACAAACTTAGTTTCCAAGCCAAAGTTCGTAACCCGATTCGGATTTTACGAAGAAATCGGGCTCGTAACCCGAAAAGTTCGTACAGAGGGACATTCCTAAGCCGAGGTATCGCTGTACTTTAAATGTAAAATGCTCAAAGGCCATTGCTCCCTGTGCCTCTCTAAGGGAGCCAGGTTCTGGCTCGTGGTTCCTGGTAGGCATAAAGACTCCTGTGACTGATGACTCACCCAGAAAATGGCTTTTCATTATATTCAGTGCTGGGTTTTTCCCATAAGGAATAATGGATATTCCTTATGGGATAATAATGGAATAGTTTATTGGATCAATAAACTTAAGTTTTGGTTTTTCAGGATTCAAAGCTTTCAGAGGAGAAGTGATGCAGTTAGTGTGTGTCTGGTCTTTGAAGCTGCTGGAGTCGAGGACTATCAGGGTGCAGGCTATCATCATCCAGAGGAATCGGTGCCACCTCCTAAGGGCTTAGATAGTTACCCTGCTATCTTCACTTACCCTCCTGTGAGATTATATAATTTTTATGCCATAATGACTATAGTTCCTTTCAGTTGTTATAAGGGCAGCGTTTTTTTTCTACTGGTATCAATGAAACTAGGTAGAAATAAATACCTGGCCTTTACGAAAGTGTGAATAATTGTGAAATGGGGCTTGCTCAATCAGTTAATTTACTGAAGTAACAGACACCACATTCCTGGGCTGCACACAGTTCCTATGTTAAGACAACATATATTATGACATGTAACACATATCTCATATAATAGAAACTTACTTTACAGTGATTTTATTCACTACTACTTAAAATTAAATTACAAAATATCTCAAGAGAGTAGACCACTTTAACAAGGACTAGGGGTATTGCAATTGACTCTTGGTCCATCAAACTAACACTTGGTTAACAAGTTACTTGTAACTTGTATGAGTATCCATCATGATGTATCCATCTTGATGTAATCCATCAACAATTCAAACTGTATACTGTATTAAACATAATTCATAGTTTAATATATTTTTATGCTCGGCATACTCATACCAACCAAGTACCAACATTAGGCAGTTTCAAATGGCAAAGAATAACAAGGCACAGGACAAGCATCACTATGTAAAAGTTAACACGTAGCCCAGGAGGGAAAATCAACAAGCATCCCATCAACGCCGGAAACTTCACCTAACACACCTGCAAGCAGAGTGAACAAGCCACCGGTCCACAATTTCCTCAACCACCGGGGTTCAAATATTCTTTTTCTTTGAAATAGGTGCAATTTGCATGAAGGCTTTTACTCCTTATGACTGTACAAGTGGTAACATTGAAAGATGTGTTACACAAAATGGCACATGAATTTTCAATGGTGGCATTAGGTCTCCACAATATTAATAGTGAAAGGTATGATAAATTTGTGTGATTTTTTAATATTTGTTATCAATGCCTTAGGCCCTCTGCTCCTCTCTTTTCTCTGTGCATATGCATCCTCAACTCACAAAAGTAGGAAGCTTCCAAACACAAAATAAAAAAAATTATGGTAGAGATTATTATGGGTAATGTGGTATTAGGTAATAATTAGTGTAGGAAAGTACTAAAATTAAATAAACATTTAGAGAATGAATATTGTTTTAGTAAGATTCTTATATTAAGGAGGATAAATATTTTTAAGTGATAAAAGATTTTTGTTTTGGTACAATTTGCATGTATTAGTTTATCAAGTGTAATAACACTAATAGCAAAATACAGTTATTTGTATGTGTTTTACTTAAGAAATCATGTTTCTTTTACTCAGACTAAACCTCTGGAGAGATGGCCTAGCATTGTTATGCGAGTTTCAGACCGGAGCAATGAACATGCTTTGCTAGATCATGTTGTGCACTTCTTCGATCAACAAGTTAGTAATGAGTGTCATAATGTCCATCACATTCAGAAGTGTCATGCGTCTATAATATAGAATGGCTCATAGGTATATTACTAAAATACTAAAAGAATTTCATTGTTTACTTGCAGGTTGGATCAACATACTTCTTATGCAGAGTTGAGCCTAGAATTACATTTGTTGCCATATTTGATACTAAAAAATCTGAAAAAGACAGTTACATCAGAGACTTCATATATGACTTAGTAATGCAATTAAGATGCAACAAAGTGTTTGCAAACCTGAAGCCCAAATAAAAGTGAAATTGCTTAGTTTTGTATGTTATGAAATGATTGACAAAATCCAGTACAGATGGACCTCCTTAGAGCAAATTTCACTCTAGTGAACATGTTCATGTTGAGTTCAAAATTTTCAGTGGAATAATTATGTGTTTGTTTTGCGAGTCTTGTGGTGCACTACTTGCACCACTGTTTTCCTTATTCTCATATCAGATATAGACTCAAATACATATCACAGCTTCATATCATCCTTTGCAGATGACAAAAATCAGCATGAAAATTACCTCGGTTAAAGACATTGAAAAACTACAAGCAGATATTAATAAAGTTTTCGACTGGGCAGCAGAAAATAACGTGATGTTTAACAGTGATAAATTCCAGGTACTTAGGTACGGTAAAAATGAGGACCTTAATACAGGGTACAAAACGCAATCAAATCTGCCCGTAGTAGGAAAACAGCATGCAAAGGATTTGGGAATAATGATGTCTGATGACTTAGCGTTTAGGGAGTACTGTATAACCAAGCAAATATTGCGTCAGCCAGATAAATGATAGGATGAATTACGAGAACTTTCAAATCCAGAGATCCCATCACAATAGTTATACTCTTCAAATCACTGCTGCCCCATCTTGAGTGCTGCGCAGTACTCACTTGCCCCTTCAGAGGAGGAGAGATTGCTAAAATAGACGGAGTACAGAGAACCTAAATTATTGGGATTGTCTCCAAGCTTTCCAAATGTACTCACTAGAAAGGAGACAAGAGAGATGTCAAATAATATACACGTGGAAAATACTGGAGGGCCAGGTCCCAATTCTACACAGTAAAATAGCAACATACTGGAATGAACGATATGGAAGAAAATGCAGAATAGAACCAGAGAAGAGCAGGGGTGCCATAAGCACAATAAGAGAAAACTATATATACATCAGAGGTTCCTGGTTGTTCTACATCCTCCCATCGAGTATAAGAAATATTGCGGGAACAACCGTGGACATCTTCAATAGATCTTCAAGGAGTGCCGGATCAACTGGGATGTGGTGGATATGTGGGTCTGCGGGCTGCTCCAAGCAATAGCCTGGTGGACCAAGCTCTCACAAGTCGAGCCTGGCCTCGTGCCGGGCTTGGGGAGTAGAAGAACTCCCAGAACCCCATCAAGGAGATATTAAGCAGGTTTGTTCATGTAAGTCAGTGCTAAGTCAGTTTGCCAGGACATATTCATGTTAACAGCTGCTCTTATCTAAACATAAACTACATTATACACTGTAGTGCATAAACTTTTTCAAATAAAATTAAATGGTATTGTATTATAAATAATATCAAACAATGCTATTCAAAAGAGAATATACCCAAAACAGTCAACATTGAATATCATTATTGCAGTTTGTCCATGACCAAAGAATTTCTGTGGGGAGCCTTGTTGGCTCCCCTGAAGCTATCCTACTGATATATGGCTATTCAATTTGGGGTCATCAGTCACAGAGTTCTTGTTGGCCACTGGGGACCAGAACCAAAACCTGGTTCCCTCAGAGAGGCGCAGGGAGCAATGGCCTATGAACACTTTACATTTAAAGTATATCATACTTGCCATTGACCAGGGAAGGCACCCCAGAAAGATAGGCAAAACAAAACAGACCACTGTCTGACTGAAAATTGTGACCGACGGCTTCAAAATAGCAAAAGACCTCCCTAGAAAGAAAACAAGCAACACTTCACTTCCTCCAACTAGCCCCCAGCTCATTAGTGCACCCCCCGTCCCACAGGGGGAGGGTGAGCTGGCCTGTGTAAGCTTCTACCCAACCTTCCGTTCTTGACTGATGAGCTTGGCAGTCAGATGTTGCCTCTGGCCATGATTTCCTGTTCAGGGATTTTTGCCTTGTGAGGCTGTTCCTGCACTTGTGGTCTGCGCTGGCCAAGAATTCCTGGGTACAACCGGAGCTCCATGATGCTCCGGGTGCCCAGGAAGTGGATGTCACTTTCACCCTATTCACAAGTTTATTTGTGCGTTTTTCATCTCTGGCGTGCTCATATACCCCCTTAGTCTTCTTGGTCTCTGGACCAGGGTCTTTCTCTTCTTTCTTCACCTCTGTTTGTGGTGGCCCCTTCAGTTCATGATTGCTTCTGGAAGGTTTTGTTTTTGTTAGCCTTGGCCTCTTGGGGTCGGGTTGGGGAACTTCATGTTTTTCTCCGGCACTGGGATTTTCGTTCGTTTGGTTCTGGTGGTCGTTTTGTTCGTTTGCAGCCGGCTTCTTATTTTCTGGCGAAGAATAAGATGGCGGGCTTCCGGAGGGGTCAGTTGGTTGTGGATGCTTAGTTGGTTCAGCCGGGGGTGCATAACGTGCCGTGTCTGGTAGCTGCTTTACACCGCTACCTGCAGCCCACCGGTTCTGTGTCAATGGACATGTTCTGGGTTGCTTTAGTTTCCCCGGTTCCCTGTTCAAGGACTCGTGTGTCTCAGGTTGTCTCAGTGCCTTTAAGTCTAGCTAAACTGCAGTCTACCCTAGCACTCATGACATTAGAAAGTATGCCACTCTTTCAGCTGTCTTTGGTAATATGTCTTGGGACAATATTCGAGCGCAGGAGTTTTGGAGGTCGAACAGGGTCCTGGCCGCCAGGTATCTCGTGAATATCCTGGGCCCCCCTTATGCGCAAGTTGCTTTGGGGCACCTGTCGCAGCCGTCTGTCTCTTCCTCGCATTGAGACCTGTGGTGCTGCCGCCGCCTCCCTTGTAAGTGCCTGTTATTCCTTCTCTGTGGGTAGTTTACTTCAGGAAGCTGACAGGGCTCCCCACAGAAAACCAGCATTGAATGTATGAAACGGCAGTTTCTGGATAAGCCCAGAGGCTTCCTGACACCCTCCCTCCCTCTAGTTACAAATAACTGACTGGGCTAAGTCCTGACTTACCAGGGCTGCCTGACCCCCACCCTGACTCTGGTCAGTGGTTTTCATCATTCAAGAACTGGAGGGTGGGTAGCATGGGTTACCCGGGCTGGCTTCCCCTGCCCTTGCTAACGAACAACTAGTCGAGAGGGGGAGCTTGTTGAGCAAAGTGTTGCTTGTTTGTTTTCTTTCTGGGGAAGTTTTTGCTATTTTGAGGACGTCAGTCGCATTTTTCAACCAGACAGTGGTCTGTTTTGTTTTGACTAACTTTCTATGTGCCTTCCCAGGTCGATGGCAAGTATGATATACATTAAATGTAAATTGTTCATAGGCCATTGCTCCCTGTGCCTCTCTGAGGTTCTTTTTCTGGTTCCTAGTGGGCAACAAGAACTCTGCGACTGATGATCCCAAATAGGATAGCACTATATTAGTAGAATAGCTTCAGGGAACCTAAGGAGCTCACCCAGAAACTGGCATTTTTTTTACATTCAATGCTGTTATTTGTGCCGAATCCAAACATTGATAAGATTCATAATTTTTTTAAACCAACTCTAATATGACAAATTATGATACAAATATAAAAAAAAACTCGAACACAGTTTGGTACATAAAATTAAAAAAATAGAAGTTGAAGTGGTCTGTTTCTACTTGACCAGAGTTTATCTGGACTTGACATTTCTGGGAGGAGCCCAATGATGGCTGGCTGAAGTTATCTTGCAGAGATGGCTGCCCACTATAGGGTGACATCAGTTGCAGTTTGGCCTTTTGGAGACAAGACCTAGAACCTGGTTCCTCGTCACAGAGGCACAGGAAGCAGGGAACAACAATTATCACCCTCCTCGCTGGGAAAGCATCCAGAACGTTAGTAGATCTTTACAAACAAATGCAAGATTCATAGAAAACAAAGCATCGAAATGGTCAAATGATCCATTCCAAACAATTGGTTCACTTTAAATGAGCTTGAACCAGTTAATACTGATAACCACTACCAGGTGTCCCTGAGCCTCCAGCTCACAGCCAACTCCAAGTTTAGTCCCATCACTGGGGATGGGGCTAAATACAGTAGTGTGCTTCTAGGGTTGCCACTTGTTATTTTAGGTCTCATTGCTCCATTCTCTTCCCTGGAGGTGGCAGTTTTGGCCCTTTAGCCCTAATAGGCAGTTTATTCATCTGCAGCCTTCTCTTCTGGCAAGTAATGAGTCTGCTGGCTTCTGAAGGGACCTGTTGGTAATTGAAGTCTGGTCGGTCGGTCCTGGGGTGCATTATTTGTTGTCTAGTGAAGACGCTTCACCATTACCGGCCTCGGATGCTTTGTTGGTTGACTATTTCCCTGTTTCAAGGTTCATATTTCTCAGGGTGTCTGCAGTGTCATTAAAGCTACCCTCAGGCCCATGATGTTCATAAGTCCACAGCATTGACTGCTGTTTTCTACATGTCATGGGCTGATATTCGGGCTCAGGTTTTGGAGGTCTAGCAGGGTCTTGGTGGCCCAGGTTTGGTTAATGTCATGGTACTAGTTGGTCTTCTATGGCACTGGGCAGGATTTCTCAGCCCTTGATCTTTTATTCATCCTAGTACCTGCTGTCTCTCCTCCTTGGTAATTCTCTGTGGTGAGCTAACTTCAGGGAACCCCCCAAGAGGCTCCTTCCAGAATACTAGTGTTGAATATAATTTACCTGAGAGCTAATAACACTAGTGGCCTCAAAGAAGACAGGAAGCCGGCGGCTTGTCGAAGGCCCCCCCCCCCCTCCCCTATTTGCCTTGAAGATCTGTTCCAGTTGTACAATACTTTAAAAGTGAAGAGTTTTGGCATTTACAGTTAAAGTGCATAGGGGGGTTCCATGGGTTTATAATCCGAATTTATACATTCTCCAGAGGTTCCTCTTGGTTACCAATGCTCGTTTTATGACCTTAGTCATCCATTACTTTAATTAATTTTGCCCTGAGGGGTGAGTTTATTGGGCAGCGCCACTCATCCTGTAGATGGACATACTACCATCTTGAGGTTATCTTGAGATGATTTCAAGGCTTAGCGTCCCCACGGCCATGTCCTCGACCAGGCCTCCTTTTTGTTACACACACCTAGGAAGCAGCCCATAGCAGCTGTCTAACTCCCAGGTACCTATTTACTGCTAGGTAACAGGGGCATTAGGGTGAAAGAAACATTTTGCCCATTTGTCTCCGCCTCCACCGAGGATCAAATCTGGAACCTCAGGACTACAAATCTGAAGCGCTGTCCACTCAGCTGTCAGGGACCATAGCAGCATGTACAACACCCCTCAGTAGGAAGAAAACTCGATGGGTTGTTCATCCTGTCACTTGTACCCAGAC